AGAGCCTCCAACAAGGTCAAAGTAATAAATTTGAAAGACGGGTTTGAAGTGGTGAGATACGTTTAATATTTTTTTTAAAATGTTTAAAGCACCTCTCCAATCTTATTACACACTGTTCTTTTTGTTACAGAAAAACATCATATATGAAATTCACAAATCTGTTTGGAAGAATACTGATGTTAAAAGGCCTAAGAAAATTGTTGTTGCATCTGAGGTGGAGGGGAAAGACACATTGATTATTACTGTAAGTTACTGTATTGTGATAGTTCTATTTATTTCTTTGAAGTGTTCTGTCAACTTTGACTTGTGCAATTTCATGTTTCAGCTTGATTCTGTGGAAAGTGCTGCTCTTGTTATTGGTCTCCCACCAGTGGAATATGAGGATATGTTCCTAACAATTGAGCAGATATTTGAGCCCCTGTCTGTTAATGCGGTTGTGCAGCAACCTACAATAAATAATTTATCTTTATCCATAGAGGACTTCCGGGTGCAGGATCCTTCTCCTGAGGGAGGGGAAAAGAAAGAGGAGACATTGGGTATGATAAACCTTGCAAATAGTATATTTGATTTTCATCAAGTGCATACGTTCCCAGGGCTTAATCCGGTATTATTATAAATGCTTCTGCTTGCAGTGGAAGTAGAGTTTGATGCAAAGGGAGAGCCCCTAATTCCCAGAGGAGTGCAGCCAAGGTCTGACTGGCCCTCCTATGAAACTTTATAGCTGATCGAGGCTGCAATAAAATATAGGGAATTAATTTCTAGTGGAGCGACTCAGTACAGACATAAGGGCTGGATACAAGTGACCACCTTCATCTATGAGAGGAAGTTGTACTACAGTGTGAAGAAGTTGAAAATGGCATGGAAACGTCTCCTAGCAACTTATGATACATGTGAGCCCACCTGGGAATATCGCAGGCTTATAAATATGTACAACTCTGAAGAGCCACTTGATGAGGAACATCTCCAGGAGATGCTCGCCAAATATAAGCGTACTATTCCGAGCAAGAAGATTAGTCTGGTGGAAAAAAACAAAATCGTGTGTGGTGTTGCAACGCTTGAAGGCTGTGCCGCAGAAGGTTCGTTTTATACTTTTGGATTGTTTTTAACTCTGAGTTTTCCTCTGGTTTGTCCTAAGTGTTACTTTTTTCTTTTCTTTCAGAACTTGGACATTTATTCAAGGACAGTAATACATTCCTCCTCATCTCGTCATATTACGTGCGAAAGCATCTCTTTGATGATGACATGCATAGAAATGATCAGTTGTATGCTGAACTAGGTCGAGTCCAGGTGGATGCTGGATACAACGTTTCTGGAGAAGACTGCGCCAAGAGAATGGCTTACCTAGCGAAAAGATATAAAGAAATAGAAGACATGCGCATCCTGTGCACTGGAAGTGGAGGCGATCCCCCCAAGTGGCTGTACTATGATGCTTTGTCCCAAATCTTTGAGAAGAGTCGCATCATGCGGCCTCAAGTATTGTTGGCTGCAGGGTCATCAAAGCTAAACCAGGTACGTGAGGAGGAAGAAGAGGATGATGCGCCGCAGAAGGGTAGGAGGACTAAAAAGAAGAAAAATTCCTACACCTCAAGTGTCTCTCTTGCATCATACCGAGACAAGAAATTGAACATGGCGGGTGAATTAATCGAAGTTTTTAAAACCATTATAACAAATCCTCCTGCTAAGCCCAAGCAGGATTAGTCCTTACTTTGAAATTGAAAAGCTGGTGATAACATGAACATGTGCTTTTCAGTCTTGGTATGATTTAATTGGAATTTCCATTTCTGTGATTTGAGTGACCCAAAGTTTCTGTATGTGAGTATTGCTTTAGGGAAATGCTGTGATTTAAAATAATTTAAAGTCTGCAAATTTGATATAAGTAGATTGTATTTTAAAGTTGGACAGAAACATTTTTGGTATATAGTTTTGCAATGCATGCAAAGGAGTTATTTTACCAAAGACAAGTTTTAGTACAGGTAGCTTTTGTAGAGCTGAAATATTTTTAATGTAGTGTTGAGTACAGAGACAGAACACTAGTCAAAAAGACAACTGTCACAGACTTCACAAGGTTCTGGAAAGGTCAAGCAATATGAGTCAGTTTGAATTAGGAAGGTCTGTGATTTCTTACTCATGTACCTATGTACTCAAGTACTCCAAACTGTGTATTTCATTTATGCCCCTGGGTAAAAAAAACCATGGGGCTGTCCATGAGCCATGGACATAAATTTAACCATGGATTTTTCTGACCATAGATTTATGGAACCAGTAAACCATGAAAACAACAGTTGACCATGAGTA